CAGCTACTCATAGGCTTCATAATACAGTTGGTTAAATTGAATTAATTTATTCTATGGCTGTAAGTTTTGAGCAGACATGACACATTTTCATCAGACAAGTGAAAAGTTCAGTGAGATTTCGCAAGAAAAGTACTCGTATTTGGGAAGAATTTAGTAACGGCTAGTGATTGTTATAATTATTAACTAAAAGTATGATAGGTATCTGCCTCAGCGTTTGGACAAACACTTACAGGCTTACTTCTCAGTTGGAGGGCAGTGTTCCTTTTACTTTCTAGGCCCCAATTAAACTCTCACCACCTCTCTGCAACCTTCTGTATCTATCTCCAGGTGTCCTATCCAGCTCTCTGGTCCACTCTCTCCCTAGGCTCCTCCTTGCCCTCAAGAAGTGCGGTATGCAGCTGCTTCTGATAGCAAGTGCTCTCTAGGCCCTGGGTGCTGGCTGGTCAGTGTTGCTCCACCTACCTCCCTCAGGAGCTCCACAAGGGTCCACAGAGCCCTCCCTCTCCCCTTCTGTCTGTTCCATCTCCTCATGATGTTACTTTCTGTTTCTGAGTTTCTTTTGAGTTCTCCTCATTTTTTTCTGTCTGCCAAATCTAAGTCATCAGACAAATATTTGTATCTCCAGATTCCAATTTATAGTGCAGCCAGTCAGGCTGCACAAGGACTGGCTGCTCTTCAGTCCAGACTCTTCTCCATGGCCTCAAATTATCAGTGATTTAAAGTATCTTCTTTTCTGCAAACTCAGCCCAAGAAATATTTTCCCTGGCTTTTGATGAAATCCTGTCCTCATACTCCAGATAAGTAGGGCTGGGGGATGCCTCAGTGTGGATGCTAGGATACACTCCCTTCCCACACTGGCTCAGGACAGCTTGACTTCTTACAGCACAACTGGGAGACAGGACGCAAAGCAGCACCCAGTCCCATTCTCCTGTCCTAGCCCTGTTGCTTGTTACAGGCTATGCAAGATGGGCACCTCGGGGTCCTCTGGCTACAAGCTTACTGACACAGAGAACACCAGCAGGTTCCAAAAGCCCTAAATACATTCATTGCTGCAGGGCCTTACTTTCATGTCTACAGTCCTCAAAGTGTGATGTCAGGAAGTCCTTCCTTCTTCCTTTCTGTGTCAAAAAACTCTAAAAGATCTCTCCCTCTTTGGGTTTGGAACACCTCAGAGTTCCTTGAGTTACAACTGGGTTTCGTCTCTGCAAGCTCTTTGTCTGGTCTGACAGCGAAAAAAGAAGTGTGGGGCTAATACAGGAAGATTGCAAATTCAAGGCTAGCCTGAAAAGCATAGTGGAATGTTCAGAAAATAAAAAGTTTAAAAAGGGTAGGAACATAACTTAGAAATGCAGCACTGGGTTCAATTTCTAGTACCACAAAAAAACTAATTTACCAAGTCCCCCTGCTCTTTTTTTTCTCCTTCATCATTTTTTGAAAAACTAATTTTTTTTCCCATGACGATATTTGCGTTCATCAAGTATTAAGTACCAGAGAAATTTATAAGGCAGGAATTCACCTCAAATCCTACCTCCTTCCTGATTTCAGGCCACCCCTGTCAAACTGTCTAGCTTCTGAAACCACACATTGTACAATATCTTGGATCAAATAGTATTTTATATGTAGCAGAACTTAATACTTTGAAAAGCAAATGTAAGTGAAGGGCATGCTGTCTTTCACAAGGACCATTTGGTGTGCAAGAAATTATCTGTGTATCAGAATTGAAACCAGCCTGGAGGGTGTGTCACAGCACAAGCAGTTACTATTGTAAATGGGGATGATGTGTCATTTGCAGGCCAAGATGGTTGAGAGGGAGTGTGCCTCTTAAGTACTCTCTCCTCTTGGTCTGGCCTCTTTGAATAGTGTGGCTACAAGGGGGCTGCTTAAGCCACCTGGACTTCATGTGTACAGGGAGGTAAACTTTTGTTGTGTTAAACCACTGAGATGTTTAAGTTTGTTCTTTGCAGTAGTGACATTAACTATTCTAATAGAGTCCCTGAAGCGAGTCCCTGTAACACATGAGGCATGCGAAGGATTATTTGTTAAATACATAGCTGGATGAACAATGAATCTGTTTGAGGCAGATGGAAGCCCTGCTTCTTTCCTACACATGGGTCTGTAATAGCAAAAACTATAGAACAAAGGCAGCCTGCTCTCCTTTTTGGAAGGAGTCCTTTACTTGTGTTTAGTTCACATGGGTCACACAGACATTTAAAATACTCTTATAATCCAAAATTCAACTTAGCTTAACAACCACTTACTGACTACTAATTTTACCATGTCTGATGCTGGGAACTGGAAAAGAAATTCTTATCGAGCTAGCTGATGCAGGAGACAGGACAAAAGCTGCGCAAGACAAATGTACAAGTAAACAAACTGACAATCTAAGGTTGAGATTCAAACAGAACCCCCACGGGCGATTCTGACTCATTCCCCTCCTCACACTTAACACCAAATCTCTGGTGCTCCAAACATCCACAGAAAGGCCCAGGACTGGTATTGCCTTTGCCTTAATATTTGTGCACATGCTTGTGCCCTCCACTGATGTTTACAGGAGCAGACAAGTGTAGCTTTGTGCTGTGTACTATCTGTGATACATAATAAATGCTCCTTAGACTTGCATGCTGTGTCTTGAAGGGAGAATATGCACAATGCAGTGAGAATGCTCTGGCTTGTGGGATGTTGTATAATATGAGGCTGTGAAGAAGCTTTGGGGGAGATTTGAGGAGAGGACAGATAGGGTATAAATGGGACATTTTGGGGTGGGCCAATTGGTGTCCATGAACAAGCCTAGAGTATGGTAAAAGGAGAGGCAGGACCATAGAACTGGGTAAGAGGTCCAGAATAAAGATCGGGAAAAGTAGATGAGGGATATAGGAAGGCAGAGGTGTGAGACTGCTATGTTTGTACCTAATTAATCCAGGCATAGAGGCTCATGGAAGGTGCCTGGATTTTGAAATGTGTAGAGAGAGCTGGAAATTGGGAGCTGGTGACTGGAAGATCCCTCCCTTCTACTGACCTTCGGCCAGGGTCAAGAGAGCAAACACTAAAGAGAGGAAGGATGGGAACCACATTAAGAAAGGTGATGAATGAGAAGTGGTAGAAAATTTAGCCTTTTAATTCCATTGTTAGGGAGCCACAAGAGGGAGAGATTTTCCAGGAGAGGACATAAGCATAGATGAAAGAGGCAAAGAGTGGGGTTAATTAACAGGCTAATTATCAGAAATAGACAGGGTGGTACGGGGCCACCAGAGCACTAGTGGAGGGTTGGATTTGGGCGGGAGAGGGGCAGATGATTTTGCAGTACAGGAGCAGAACTGCTGAGGAGTGGAGCTGAGATTCTGAGGGGGCTCATGGAGGGTAGCAGCCTTGATGAGTAGAAGAAACAAGGCATGGTTGCAGTAATAGGGGTGGCCATATGAGGTTGTGGGGATACGTGGAAGTGCCACTGTGACACAGTGCCCAAGAGATCAGCAGCAGTGTTTGCTGGAGTCCTGGGAAGGGGCTACTGAGCAAGAATAGTCATGCAATGTCATGCCTTGATTTTGAATATAAGGTTAAACTTTATTCCCCATCTAATAGTTAGCATTAGATGTAGGTAGCAACTCAACGCTCCAAGTCATCCACTTCCTCCCTCTGGCCTCTCCCCTCCTTACAGCGCATTCCCTGGCCAGCCTGGCAGTGTTCCCTGGGGTTGGATTTTTCCCCAAGCCTGTCTTTCTTGGAGGTATAGATCCTGTTCTCCCTGCAATGAGTGGTTTCCAGAAAAAAAAAAAAAAGAAATAAATAACTCAATTGTTGTACTCTGACAGTCATCTTCTTATTTTTTTTTTTTTCTGAAAATAAAGATGAATTAGTTGAACTGCTTATAACAATCAATTTCAAAGGCTCCATAGCTTCTTTAAAATTTCCTGGCAATTTATTTCCACCTACCTATTTCTTTTCTTTTTTTTTTTTTGGCGGAACCAGGGATTGAACTCAGGCCCTTGCGCTTGCCAGGGAAGCACTTATTCTACTGAGCCATCACCTACCTATTTCAAAGAGGCAAAACTACATTCTCATCTTGGCTACCCTAGCTCTCCCTATTATTTTTTTTATTTATGGTTTTTAAAAATCTACAAGCAGAGCTCCCATAATATCCAGAATGCAAAGTTTCTATGATGCAAGTCTGAAATAATTATCTGCATTATAAACATTTATCATATTGCATCTTCAAGCGTGAAAGAATGTCCCATGTGTGGTTATATTTATATGCTTACATTATTATAACATTATTATAATTTTACACCTGACTTATACTGATTTTTAGGAAGACAGTACTAGATGTACTCAACACAAATTCAGAAAAAGGAAATTAGAAGTTAGTGGCAATTTTAGGGCACTTATTTAGATTCCAACCTTTTGAAAAAAGCTTAGTTTAAAACAGAATTAAATTAGCTTTTTTTTTCCCCCAGAACTGGGGATTAGAACTAGGACCCTTGCACTTGCCAGGGAAGCACTTATTCCACTGAGCCATCTCCCCGGCCCCCTCAAATTTCTTTATTTATTTTGCGGAACTGGGGATTGAACTCAGGCGCTTGCACTTGCCAGCGAAGCGCTTATTCCACTGAGCCATCTCCCCGGGTAAATTAGCTCTTGATAAACTTTTCTGGCTCAAGCAAAATCCTCACCATCCTCCTTCCCTACTCTCATGTATGCAATGGCATACACATGGGAGCAAATACTTTATTTTCTCCTTGGGAAACATTAGCTTATTCTAGGCAATCCCAGCTTCTCTTACTATAAACCTCGTCCTCCTGCGGCCTGTCTCCTGGTTAGCAGTTCCCTACACCAGAGTATGAATTCTCCTACTTTCTCCTGTGTGGCTGCAGCTGTCATTGACATCGAACCAGCCTGTCCCCTTCCTTATCCACACCTTCTGTAGCCAGGGCGCACCTCCAGAGGCAGAAGCGCTGCTAGGTCGGCAGCCCAGTGCTGGTGCTGCCCAGGTGCCCTGTGCCTACCTGGAAGGCCTAGGATGGTGAAGTAGGGCCGGCACTCGGTGAAGCCCGAGCTCTGCCTCACGCAGCTCCTCCACAGCCCTTCGTACTGGAACACAGAGGTGACAGGGTTGTCATACAGGTCCTGGGTGCTCCACATGTCCATTCCTGTGGCAGCGATGCAGCCGGCCAAGCCGAGCAAGGACAGGAGGAAGCCCACCACTTGGCACGTGGTGGTGGACATGGCCTCAGCCCTGGCCCTGCCACCTCACTGCAGCCAAAGCTAGGCACCCAGCGTGCACTGCCCGAGGGGAGCTCTGCTAATCAGAGGCTTTCTCTGAAGCTCGGTGTTTGCTCACGGTGTTTTCCTTAGATAGTTCAGTTTCATTCCTTGCTCAAGGGCATTATTTTTTCATTTGTTAGGTCCCAAGAGGCACTTGTCGGGCTGAGCTGCACAAGCGCAGTTGGTTGAGACGGGTGGCACAGGCCGGAAGGCTCTGTGCTCTGAGCGGCTGCAGCTTCCCCAATCCGGGCTCTGTCTCTGATGGGAACTTGGGGAAAATGCCGAGGGCCCGATTACCTGGGGGAGGCAGGGACTGGGGACAAACCCAGGAGACCACTCAGGCTGATTAGATGGTCCTAAGAAGCACCCGCCTTTCTCCATCTGAAACCAGACTGCGCCTTTCTTGCTGTCCACTTGTATGCTAGGTTCTACCTACTCTCCTGTTAGAGAAGTGGGAAGGGCAGGTACATTCATTCGCAATTTGTAGGTGAATCAGTTGAGGAAGGAGGAAGTCAAAGGATCCCGAGGGGTGTGAGCTAGAGTTTAAGGAAGGCAAAGGTGGGCTCTAGCCCTCACCTCGGTGTTACACTTTTGTTTCTATGTGCTGTTCCACCTTTGAGAACAGGATTCCAAGTCCTGACCCAGAGATACGTGGCTGGTCCACAGGTCTTGGAATTGGGCCGAGAAGCCAAGGATCCCATTGACCTCCATATTCAGCCTGTCGTTCATACCACAAGAACCATGGGAAGATGGTGTGGCAGGTACAGGAGTTGCCACTAAGGCCTGAGAAACAAGCTCAACTGCAGGGCCGAGGACCTTGATCTGGTCACCGCGAGATGTAGGACCTGCCTCTGGCTGTCCGTACTGCACTGTATGCCAGGTGGTTTGGCAGCAGGCTCCTTAGTCCCAGTAGGTCATTCTCCTCATCTCTCATATGTGGGGACTGCCCCAGAGCATTTCCAGACCTCACAAGCTATCTTTGTATTTTGTAGAAAAGTTTTTATTACAGTCAGCCAATCAGAAGCTGTATAATCACAAGGAAAGAGACACTTAGCTGAAGAAATGAGGCATTGCCTTTTGCTTCTACAACTCGAATGATCAACCTGCTGCTTTGGAGCCTCATATATGTCTGGTCTCGGAGTTTAGAGAGATCTAATTAATTTTAATCTTCTTAAATCTGGATTTCAAAGCCTGAAACGCATACACATTCACATACTTGTATACACTACAATCTCTAACCGTGATCAGTTCTCCATAAAACAAAGCCTTGTGTCTGAACATTTCAATATTACCTTAGCCTCACCCAGTGCCTACTCCCATATTTTTATTTCCAGGAAACACACAAGGCAAAGCTGGAAGATCTTTCCCTTATCTGACTGGGACCAGTGCTGTTCTTGACTTCATACCTTATTTTAAGTTCTGTGATAGGTGTCTTTGGAGAGTGATGTGTGTCAGAGACCCTGATCGGGGCATAAGCAAGAGCTAAACACTTCAAAGTGCAACAGTGCTTGTGCCTGTGTGTTCCCTAAGCTGAGCTAAATGGTTAAGTCTAAAAGGCAGGGAAGGGACAAGAGGAAGGAGTCAAACTGTTCTCTTGGTCTCCTTGGACTAGTTAGATTGGGAAAGATTCTGCGCTGTTTTTGAGGACAGGATACATTTGAACTTTTAATTCAATCAAGAGACAGGCATGTTGTTCTTAGAAAGCTCTATATGTTTAGTGTTTGGTTGTTCAGTCCATAATGTTTGTCCAACATCCCTGTTCCCTATACGTTGATTATAATGATACCAAACCAAAGGTTGAAAATAGAAAAGTAAAAAAAGAAAAATTATCACAAGTTTTTTCTCACTCATAGTGGTTTCTCCCTGAACTTCCCTATACAACTGTTTTATGCTAAATTTTAAAAGTAGAAAAAAAATCATATTCAGATAACAATGAATTACATTTTCTTTTTGGATTACTCAACCATACAGAAGGATAAATTGGAGGCACTTGTAGGAAAATGGAGCTCCTGGAGTCCATTATGCTAAGTGAAATAAATCAGATACAGAAACTTAAATATCTCATAGCTTCTCCTATATGAGACAACCAAACTATAAATAAAGAGCAAAATAAAAGATAAATGATAAGAAACAAGGGAAACAGACTGCAGAGAGGAGAAAGGGATCTGGAGATGAAGGGACACGGGAAGGAGGTAAAGGAAAGGGAGAAGTGAAAGGATCAAGACGTAGCACAACAATCCCCACAATGAATGTATTTTTTCCATGTTACAAACATATGCCAATAAAAAAATTTCAAAAGCATTGCTTTTTGGTTGAAATGTGGCAATGACTTAAGTTTTTTGGGAGAAGAAAAACTAATATTAAGTGAGAAGGGAAAAATTACAAATTGATACACTTTTTTGTTGTGTTTTAAAACACTTGGAAGAGGGGTTTTTCAGATCCTGGTGAATTTTTCTGGGCTTTGAAATGATTGAACTACTTTAGTTGTCTTTGCCAAAGAATGAACAGGAATCCAGAGAGGAAATCTATTTTTCAGTTCATGGCAATAAGTTTTATTGAAACTTGTTGAATGTATGTATGATTGAATGTATGATTATTAGTTAACTCCTGATCTAATTCTGTTTAACAATAATGGGCGTGGTTCAACTTTGCTTAATCGCTTTTAAAATGGAGCAAGGCTGGCTGTTAGCTAAAATCATTCCTGCATTCTGGCTTAAATAAGACTCCAAAAATATCATTTCAGATTATGAGTTTTGAAGACCTTGTTTTACTGACTCTGGATAAAGGATTTCCATCATTTTTATTAACAACCTACAGGATTACTAATGTAACACTGTCTATGATAATTAGGTAACATGGTGGTATAAATAGCAATAAAAATATAGCTACCAGTCAGGAAGGACCATACTTAGTATACTAACAAGAAAAATAAATGACACATTTAACAATTTCCCCCATACTGTATGTGCTGAATTTCTGAGTCTGCCTTTTGCTATACATAGTGAAAATTGGGAGAAAATTTTTTACAAATAACTTCATCTTGAGCTCTAGACAAGGAGAGTCAATAAAATTTGATGCTTTGCTATTTCCATTGAATTGTATTTAGGTCAGCAAAACTTTTTTTTTCCTCCATGCTGGGCTGGTTCACACACCCCATCTTTGTAGATGGAGGCTATCCTTCTGCCGTAAAGGCCCGAATTCAACAGTTCAACAGACAGTGCCCCAGTGCTGTGGCCCAGCTCCCAGAGTTCCCTAGACCAGCAAAGCTTTTGTAAATACCATAAGTACATTTGTAATTCATTATATAGGAGTGTGATTATTTACCTAACAGTGTCCTACATAGTTAAATTGTATCTCCCCTCAATATTTTTTATATGAAAGCAAGCTTATGAGGAATATTTTGCACATAACATCTTGCCACTGCTTCTGACTGCTTTGTTAGGATAGATTCGTAGGGCCAGAATTAGCTTGTCAAACAGTGTGAAGTTTTTTGTAAAAAAAATTCTTTTTACATAAAGCGGTGCTCCTTTCTATGAATTTTATTCTGGGTACCAATACTTGAAAGATCCCACTACTTACTTACCTACTCTGTGGGTTTGGTAAGTTATACACGATCACCTGTTTCTGTTACATCTCTTTGATTACTGAATTTGAAATTTTTTTCCTTTTTGTGGTGCTAGAGATCAAACTCGGCCTTGTGAATGCTAAGCAAGCAAGCAATGTTCTACTAAAGTACACCTCTACCACTGTTTAACTTCTTTTAAATGCACATCTATGAAACATTTGTTATTTTTTCTTTTCTTTGTCAGTTGTACAGCTTTCTCACTGATTCACTAGAAATAGAGTGCTATCCTATCAACTCATATGTGCTATTTATTTGTCATGGATCTTAGTACTACTATAAGTACAAAAACATCTTTTTGATTGGTTATTTACATTTAACTTCAGTCCACATTTTAGGAAAAACCCCCCTCATACATTGTATTCTATTTTATGTACTTCCCAGGATCTGGGACATAAAACGTATGCAATATCTATTGGGTGAATTATGAAGTCAAATAATTTTAGTTTTCGTTTGTGATTTCTTCCACTGTTACTGTGCTAAGAGAATTATTTTCCATTTAGAAGATAAAATTATTTTAGAACTTAGAAATATTTAGTAGATTTTAAGTATAATTAATATGGGATTGATTTTGGTTTATGTGTTGGTTGGTGTCATCATTGTCTTTTCACTTACAAAAGATCTAAACAATAATTTCTGTAGCCTTTCTTTCTTTCTGTGAACTACCACACCCAGTATTAGTCACCATCTCTGTGCGCCCGGGCTGGCTCAGCATGCTCTCTGTCTGTCTGTCTCTCTCTGTCTCAGTCTCTGTCTCTCTGTCTCTGTCTCTGTCTCTGTCTCTGTCTCTGTCTCTGTCTCTCTCTGTCTTTTTTTTTATGGCCAGCAGATCCAGGACAGGTTGATTTCTGATTGTGAACATAGAAAATAACTGGTCTAGGAAATGCTCTGTAATCTTTTATCCACAGTATTTCTAGTGGGTTTGGTTGTATCTGTCTGCTTCTTGCTCAGCCCAAGACTCTGTGTTTGCATTCTTGGGAGTATGTAACTTCTCAATGGAAGTTTAAAAATTCTGTGCTTTCATTTCAATGGCAATGAAAAAAAAAGACCTATTCCAGACATGCTGGATAGATTTACGGTTTATGCTCATGTTGATTTTTATGGTTATATTTGCACCAGGGGAGAGGTAAATGATATCCTCAATTTTTAATGGGCAAAGCTTCCACTGTAGCTCAGTCAGAAGACAGAGTGATAGGAATTTCTCCTGTGTGGCAGTACTGGTGCTCTAAGTGCAAAGACTCATGCTCTGGTGGTCAGAATGTTGG